ATTTCCGTTTTCTATGATAATCTGCTTTGCAAAATTAGGTAACATTTAAAATTGATAATCTACTTAAAACCTCGATAATCTATTTTCGAAAGTAGAAAAAGATAATCTACTTTTCAGGAAAGTGGATATTATTTCGATATCATTTTATGATACAAATTTCCGTTTTCTATGATAATCTACTTTTGCAAAATTAGGTAATATTTTCTGAAAATCGATGATCTACTTCCCAAGCGTCGATAATCTACTTTCGAAAAGTAGAATAATCTACTTTCAGGAAAGTGAATAACAACTTTCGGAAATGAATGTTTCCCATTTTCTATGATATAATTTTCCGTTGTGTATGATAATCTCTTTTACAAATTTAGGTAATTTTTCTTAAAATCGATGATCTCTTCCAAAACGTCGATAATCTACTTTTCCAATGAAGAATAATCTACTTTTCAGGAATGTAGATAACCCTTCCCGGATAGATGTTTCCCATTTTCTATGATACAAATTTCCGTTTTCGATGTCTGCTTTTTGCAAAATTGGTAATATTTCAAAATCGATGATCTACATCCCCAAAACCTCGATAATCTTTTTACGAAAGTAGAAAGATAATCTACTTTCAGAATAGATAACCAACTTTCGGAAGTAGATGTTTCCATTTTCATGATACAAATTTCCGTTTTTCTATGATAATCTGCTTTGCAAAATTGATGTCTTCCCCAAAAATCGATGATCCATTCAAAACGTCGATAATCTACTTGATAGAAAAGATAATTACTTTTCAGGAAATTAATAACAACTCGATGAATGTTTCCATTTTCTATGATACAAATTTCCGTTTTCAGTAATCTGCTAAAATTAGAGTGTATAAAATCGATGATCTACTTCCCAAACGTCGATAATCTGCTTTCGGTGAGAAAAGATAATCTACTTTTCTGGAAGTAGATAACCATCTTCGGAAAGTAGATGTTTTTTTTCTATGATACCAAATTTCGTTTTCTATGATAATCTGCTTTGCAAATTAGGTAATATTTCCCCAAAATCGATGATCTACTTCCCAAAACGTCGATATTCTTTAAAAAGTAGAAAGATAATCTACTTTTCAGGAAAGTGATGTAACTTCGGAAAGTGGATGTTTGCATTTTCTATGATACAAATTTCCGTTTTCTTGATAATCTACTTTTAAATTTGGAATATTTCCCAAATCGATGATCCTGTTTCCCAAACGTCGATAATCTACTTTTCGGAAGTAGAAAAGATAATCTACTTTCGGTAGATCTTTCGAAGTAGTTTTTCATTTTCTGATACAAATTTCGTTTTCTGTATTCTTTTAAGATTAGTTAATATTTTAAAAATCGATGATCTCTTCCCCAAAATCGATAATCTACTTTAAAATTAGAAAGATAATCTGCTTTTTAAATGAATAATATTTTGAAGTAGGTGTTTCCCATTTTCTATGATGCAAATTTCCGTTTTCTATGATAATCTGCTGCAAAATTAGGTAATATTTCCAAAAAATCGTTGATCTACTTCCCCAATGTCGTGTCTGCTGGTAGAAAAAGATAATCTACTTTTCAGTGATATTTCGGAAGTAGATGTTTCCCATTCTGTGATTACAATTTTCGTTTTCTGTGGTAATCTTCTTTTGCAAATTAGTTAATATTTCACAAAATCACGTGTCCCTTTAAAGTCGATAATCTGCTTTCGAAAAGTAGAAAAGATAATCTTTTCAGAAGTGAGTAATAAAACTTTCGAAGTGAATATTTCCCATTTTCTGTGATGCAATTTCCGTTTTCTTGATAATCTGCTTTTGCAGAATTAGGTAATATTTCGCCAAAAATCGTTGATCTCACTTCTGAAGCGTCGATAATCTCTTTCCAGTAGAAAATGAATTTTTCTTTTCAGTGAATATTTCGGAAAGTAGATATTTCCCATTTTCTATGATACAAATTCCGTTTTCTATGATAATCCTTTTGCAAATTTAGTGTATTCCCCAAATCGATGATCTACTGAAACGTCGATAATCTACTTTCAAAGTAGAAAAGATAATCTACTTTTCAGGAATGAATAACCAACTTTGGAAAGTAGATATTTCCATTTTCTATGATACAATTTCCGTTTTCTGATAATCTACTTTTGCAAAATTAGGTAATATTTCAAAATCGATGATCTACTTCCCAAAACGTCGATAATCTACTTTCAATGAAAAGATAATCTACTTTTTCAGAAGTAGATAACCAACTTTCGGAAATAGATATTTCCCTTTCCATGATACAATTCGTTTTCTGTGATAATCTACTTTGCAAATTTAGGTAATATTTCAAAATCGATGATCTACTTCCCCAAAACGTCGATAATCTACTTTTGAAAAGAAAAAGATAATCTACTTTTCAGAATGAATATAACTTTCCGGAAGTAGATATTCCATTTTCTATGATACAAATTTCCGTTTTCTATGATAATCTACTTTTGCAAAATTAGTGTCTTCCCCCAAATTCGAAATCTACTTCCAAAAGTCGATAATCTACTTTCCGAAAAGTAGAAAATAATCTACTTTTCAAATGAATGTCTTTCGATAAGAATATTTCCATTTTCTATGATACAAATTTCCCGTTTTCTATTAATCTACTTTGCAAAATTAGATATTTCTTCAGAAATCATTGATCTAATTCCCAAAAATCGATAATCTACTTAGTAAAAAATAAATCTACTTTTCAGAAATGAATAATAACTTCGGAAAGTAGATATTTCCCATTTTCTATGATACAATTTCCGTTTCTATGATAATCTACTTTGCAAAATTAGGTAACATTTCCAAATTCAATCTACTTCCGAAAAAGTCGATAATCTACTTTCCCGAAAAGTAGAAAAGATAATCTACTTTTCAGGAAAGTAAATAACTTTCGGAAAGTAGATATTTATTTCTGTGATAATTTCCCATTTTCTGTGATAAAATTTTTTCCGTTTTCTATAATAAAATTTCTGTTTTTCTATGACATCTAATTTTCGAAAAAATTATGTAATCTACTTTCCTGAAAAGTTGGGTTTAACAAAATCACAATTTCCTTCTCTTTTGTATTACAGGTCAAGGAATGAGCCCACAAAATAATACATCCATTACTATGGGGTATATTGAAATACATGCAGTAGTTTTAATTACAGAATATATTAACAAACAAACAATAAACAAATATATCAGTATGTACAAAATAAACAAATACAAATTAAATCTGATCAAATAAATGACTCAACGAGTGACAAAATAATGAACATAAAAGTAAAGACTTATTTAGTCTAGAAACTACGATGAACAACGTGGTCTATCACCACACGTTTCTGCTAGTGTATATGTATATATATATATATATATATATATATATATATATATATATATAAAATCACACGGGAAAATGGAAACAAAAGTACTTAGCTGTCTTTATTCAAGACATCTTCAGTTGCCTCTGAAGATGTCTTGAATAAAGAGCAAAATTTTCCTTCAGTGTGGTTTACATGTAATATGTATGTGTATATATATATGTATATATGTATATATATATATTTTATGTGTGTTATGTATATATATATTATATATATATATATATAATATTATATATATATATTACATATATATTATATATATATTATATATATATTATATATATATATATATATATATATATATATATTATATATATATATATATATATATATATATATATATATATATATATATTTTTTTTTTTTTTTTAACATGGAGCTACTGTAGTGTGTGGTCTACAGAGCTGGTGCTACTGTAGTATGTGGTGGTGATGTAGCCATCTGTTATCTGCTGTTGGTGGTGGTGGTGATGTAGCCATCTGTTATCTGCTGTTGGTGGTGGTGGTGGTGATGTAACCTTCTGTCATCTGGTGTTGGTGGTGATTGAGCCTTCTGTCATCCGGTGATAGTGGTGATGTAGCCATCTGTTATCTGCTGTTGGTGATGTAGCCTCCTGTCATCTGATGTTGGTGGTGGTAATGTAACCTGAGTCATCTGGTGGTGGTGGTGATGTAGCCTCCTGTCATCTGGTCGTGGTGGTGTTGTAGCCTCAGTCATCTGGTGGTGGTGATGATGAATCTTCTGTCATCTGGTGGTGGTGTAGCCTGAGTCATCTGGTGATGGTTGTGGTGTTGTGTTGTCCATCCTGGTGCAGCTGTGTTGATCAGTTGTAGTGTTGACCGTTGTGTGGTGTGTTGACCATGCTGCGGCGTCTGTGCCACAGCAGCTCAGTTATAAGAGAGAGCAGAGCGAGAGACCCACCAGCAGCACGTAGAGAGCCCCCTGTACCTGTCAACACACAAACACATACTCCTGTGTATCTTACAATAAAGATACAGTATTTTTGGAATTATCTTAATCACCACTATTCTATTATTTTATTATTGATGTTCATACGTTCATTGTTACAATATGATAATCATGTCTAGTTTTCTGTGTGTGTGTGTGTGTGTACCTGTATAAGGTTCATTGGTTGGGGTCCTCGGGAGGTCACCTCTGCTTCACAAGCTACTGAATAATACTTCCTCTTGATGTGTTGGATGACCCCATGCTGCAGCAGTCCAAGGATCTTACAGCACACATGTTGAGTACATCATGTTGCAGAACTAATATTCCACACCTCATGTTGCACCATTCATAAATGTCATAATCCACTATTATGACATGTTTGCTGTTGTTTACCTCACTATGAACACCTGATTTTGCAAAGGGCATATGTAGCATTGCATACGGTGGACATCCATTGTTGTAAACCTGATATAACATGGCCAGTCCAACGTAGTTGTTCGTGGATAATGGCAACCTCGATGCTCCTGCAGTTCGTGTCAGCAAGAATTTGTTCTCCTGTCTTCCCAACGAACTCGGAGGAAGGAAAGTAGACTATGGAGCTGGAACAGCAGCGGCTCTTTTTCAATAATTTTTTTTCCCCATTTAACCTCACTGTTTGGCAGTTCTTTATAATAAAACCTATGTAATATATTGTAGTTAAATTTTATTATGATACGGAGTTTACATACCATTAATTTAAGAATACTTAATACTTAAGATTACATAACAAAAGGTCTTTTTTGAAGATCCTGTGACGTCGGTGGTAAAATATTCAGATAAATAAATAAGCTAGTATGTTGACTAAGGCACTGCTGTACTGCATGATGTGGAACAACTAACACAGGCCATGCACTTTATGTGTAAAGTATTTTTAATACCCAATGTAAGACTGTGGGGAATACAGTAAATACATTTCTTTATATCAGTATGATCAAATAAGTCTTCAATGCAATATTCCAATCAAGTTATGATCAATAATAAGTCTGAATTCATATTGTTCTTTCGTTCTGTACTGCTAGTATGTCATACAGTAGACCTTACATATCGATACTATAATTTCTGAACCTTCGATACTTAAGATACCTGTACTGTATATACTGTATGTATGGATATTCATACAAAAAAAAAAATGCGGATCATCACAAAATCACTGACAATAAATATACGTTTCACTGAAAAGCTGCACACAAACTACAAAAAATATGAAATAACCAGTTTTCTCATCTACATGTAGTACCTTACTGTATAGCTAATAACTACCATTATACTGCATAATGTCCAAGTTTTATTGTCTTTATTATTGATAAATAAATTGTAATTTTTCACAAACTTATCAAGATAAAGTGTGATATTAAGTAACAATTTAAGGTATTCTTTATATCTTACATACTAATATAGATATTCCTATAATAAGTTTGCTAAAATAGGGTTTATCTTAGCACTGGTATGTCATAATACATAATGTAAAAGAAACAAATAACAAACTTGTCTACAGACATGTAAATAACATGATATAAATGAAGCTTTATGCTGGAATATTATACTGTATATAATCAGGCTTCAAACAGCTATCCTCCACCCTATATAAGATCAACTTCTCTCAAGGTCATCTAGTTTGAGATTAGCCAAAGAGAATTTCAAGCCCAGGTGCTGAAAAAATTGGTCTGTCGACACGCTCACTGAGATCTGGCTGCTGGTAGGGGTTGACATTAACAAGGAGTTGATTGACAGTGTGGACCAGGCCATTCAGCGTAGGTGCAGAGCAGTGAGTTATACGAGCGCGACCTGCCATGAGGCGTCCAGAGTTGATGCGGCGAACGTGAAGTGGAGGACCATCCAGGGGTCGCTTGTGGTCCATGAAGAGCCAAGTGCTGGGGTTGATGCCAGCACAACACACATGTTCTGCAAGTATCAGGTTTTTTACACACAAGCAAGCCAGAAACAGTCATACCCAGAAAATAATAAATATTTGGAACAGGAAGTTTAATGTTCTGGAAGTTCTTAAGAGTTTAAAATAAAATTATGCATTCCATTTTTAAACAATTATTTAAGTTTAGACATTAAAGTTAGTTTACACACGTGTGTACATACACACACACACACACACACGTGTGTGTGTGAGATGGTGGTGATGGGTGGGAGGCTCACAGGGATATATATATATATAGCACATTTATTGCTGGGCCCAGGCCTACAATACCCTTATACTTGTCAAATGTTTCCTCTTTGATGCCTTACCTTTCAGCACATGCTGCTTGATGAGAGCCTCCTGTAGTTCTTTATCTTCCAATATTTTTCTTAGTTCCAATTCAGGAAGTGTTCGGAAAACATGGTCAGAGGGAGCGAGGACAGTGAATGGTCCTTCACCACTTAGCGTTTCATTGAGTCCAGTGTCCTGTTGGAAGAATACAAAAGCCTAAGTAGGTGCAGCAGATAATGAATAAGTACCCTGTATTATACAAGTACCGGTATACATCCTTAAGTGACATAAAACAACTAATGTACAACTATATGAATGGGTTAGATTCCTGAAAAATCATTCGTTAAGTGAATTTTCGTATAGCAAATAAAAGAACATATGGAAAAAATAGGGTTTGGTTCCCCAATGACAAGAAAACTCCAATATCATAACCCAAAAAACATGAATTCAGTTTACGAACTACATAAAACCTACCTAATGAAAAATAATACACAGCTACTATAATTTATTGCCTTTCAACACATTAAAACCATTAATAAAATACTATCTAGATGAAAATATGAAAGCTAAAACCATTAAGAAAAAGCTAAGTGAATGGTTAACATACGGTAACTGCCATTTGCATAGACACTGGCTACGTGACTTAAAGACTCGCCATAGCAACACAGCCCAGCTGGGGATGCTGCTTCTGCCAACCTCAAACAATGCTTCCCTTCCTGCTCTTAACACACAAAGAAATGTTTATTCCCTTATGTTTTTGACCTTACTATAGTTATGTATATCTACCCAAAAATACAAGTTGAAAATCAACCATAACACGTCATAGCTTGGCCCAATGCCATGATTAATCACTATTATACTGTATCAGTGAACACTAATAACAACATTAAATCCAGTGAAATATGGCAGGGAGTGAGGAGATGAGTTACAGGAACAGACAATGCTCTAACTAGTAGTCATTCACTCGCTCCCGTTGCCAGGCGTACGATCGAAATAGGTATGGGAGAAATACATATATTGTAGTCTAATTTGAAAACGGTGATGGGCACAGTGATAAACAAATTATATAAACCATGCATTTACCTACGATAATATAATAAGAAATAACAATTGACAACTCTGTTAATGTTTCCCGCCTTGGTCACCTGTGTCCTGCATGCTGACATCTTAGTTACACGGGCCTAAGATGATCTTTGCTCTTTCTTAGCCCCCAGAACTCCCTAATTTTTTCCGAATTTTCTGAAATCTGGATTTACTTGGTCCTAATCTTTGAGGGTTCACTGTATACCGTATTTTATGGTATACAGGGCACACTTTTTTTACTGAAAAATGGCTAAAAAAATCAGGCTACTTCCTATATGCAAAATTGCAGTCTCTCAAAAGCTAATGAATCCCCCAATTGATGTCTCCAGTAGGCTAAATTCTACATAACCCAACTCCAGAATTAAAAATATTTTATTGCTGACTTAAACACTATTATTTATAATTAATTAAAAAAATATTTATTGTATATAAAAAAAGATGGATTTATAACTACTGTACTGATGATGATAACCCGAGAAGATTAACGTCCGTACGGCAGACACCCAACTCTTCAAAGGTAGCTACCAGTAAGCAGTAACCATTTCTGAACTCTTACAAGCATTACAATCTATTAATGTCATGCCTGCAACATTTATTTTTAAGTCTACAAATACCTGATACGAATCAAGATTTACATTTAAATTTTTTCATACTTGCATCTGTAAACACCGTTGGCAGCATTGTGCCAGGTTAGACTCACCACTGTAACCACCAGACTAATGGACCAAGCTGTGAGGTGTTATGGTTGTTTTTCAACTCTTATTTTCAGGTAGATATACGTAACTTTCTTCATTTATTTTTACTCATTACGTGCACACACCATCCTACATACATATTATGAAAAAAGTAAAAGAAATAATTGTCATAAGGACAAACACAAAGGGAATATACATTTCATTGCACACGAGTTAGTTGACTCAGTGAGGAGCAGGAGGAGGGAGTGTTGCTCTGAAGTCAGCAGAAGAAGCATCTCTGCGGGCCTATGTTGCTATGGTGAAGCTGGGAGTGTATGCAAATGGCTTTCAAATTATTTACTGGTTTGGCAATTACAATATTTTTGGTTGTAACTTATTTATTGGTATTATTTTATTTATTCCTCACATTTACTGGTACTGTATATATTATTTTAAGAAAACTGTGGCTACAGGAGGAAACACCATACACAAAAAAGATTTTCCTAAATATTCCCTACTGAAATGGGGTGTGCCTCATCATTCATATATCCATCCAACCATACGTAGGATAGTGTGTAGCTATGTAACTGAACATATAAACTAATTACAAGTTCAAAAATCACCATTACATAGCTCACACCTCAACCTGGTAGGGAGGGCTAGGGGGATGTGGCCACCCCAGCCGATTACTGGTGGATTCGCGATTTGAATATTTGAAGGGATCCAAATTTGTATCTGTGGGAGAAGCTTTCATACCATGAAAAAGAGGGATATTCACAGTCATCTTTAAGTAAACAATTGATGAAAATTAAAATTAAAGTAAATAAATCTACCGATGACAATAATACCTTCAACATTGATGTGAAGATAGAGAAGTCTTCGTCTTCCTCCAGGTGCTGCATTACACTGTTCTTGGGCATCTTTAACATTTTCTCCACCACGTGAACTACCGCACCACATGCCCGGGAGTCCAGGGTGGTCACACGACTGCACCCAGCTGTCAGACGAACATGGTGCCGGTTGCCGTTTCCAAGAACGCCAGCAAGAAGTGGGGACTGGAAGTGTCAAGAAAAGTTAATATGCAGTGTACAAAAAATGTAGAAGACACACAACATTTCAAGAACTGTTTCCACCATCTAATACTAATCATTCTTTGGGCTTGGTAAAAAGAGAAGGTAATTATACACTTTAAATTCCAATTCTGAGAGAAAAAGTTTTTTCATCCATAATCTTGATTTCATCGATTTTGTTCAAAAACTCAATACAGTGGTCCCTCGGTTAACGAGCACAATCAGTTCAAGAAGGTTGCTTGTTAACCGAAAAACTCGTTAACCGAAACCATTGTTTCAATGGGTTTTTGGGTAATTGGTTCCAGCTCACCGAAAATTGCCTAAATTCAACAAAAAGGGTAGAAAAGTACACTTACTTTGAAGTGTGTATGTACAAGGCTCCTGGATGATGATGGGAATTAGAATGGGGGTGGAGGAGAAGGGAGAAGAGAAGGCATTTGGGTGGAAGAGAAGTCACCCCTTGGCGCCATTTCACCCATAAAATTTGAGTTCTTTTGGTGTAATTCAAGATTATTTTCTTTAAATCAACACTGCACTGCATTAAATATTGTCAACATGTAAAATAAATTTCAAAATGACCAATAATTTGCTTGGAAACAGAAAAAAAGCATTTAATTGAAGAGAGTCTCAAGCAAGATGTTACCTCCACTGAAAAGAGAGAGAGACTAACGCCTGTTTCGTGTGTTGCTAGGCTGGATGGCGTGCCAGAAACTAGTTTCTTTACCTGCAATTATGTTCAATAACTGTTAAAATGACTAAAAAATTTAATATTAAACTTTTAAAATTTTTGAATAGTATTAACTTCTTGATATTTACTAAAATGGTAAGGAATATAAGCCGTAGAACCGATTACTGTATTGGCAGACTAATACTACAGCTGGTGGACCATCAAATGCAAGAGAAAACATGTTGAGGTCAGCTCGTAAGAAACTCGTTAATTGAGGGATTGCTCGTTAACCGAAGTTAAGAATCTTATGGAAGGTAACTCGTTAACCGAATTCTCGTTAACCGAGGCGCTCGTTAACCGAGGGACCACTGTACAGTATTTGTAAACCTGAACATGCTGATTAAGATCTGTCATCCACAATTCAATATTTGGATTATCTTGCCTAAATGATTACTGGAAATTTTTAATCACTTTTGCATTGCTAATTACTCGCCACAGTCAGTTTTGGTGTTTGTGTGTTATCCTGGATGTACTCAAGTACAGTTTCTATAAGAAGGGGCTGGGGTTGTGCGTGTCTCACCTCTCTCCTGAGTATTGCATAACTACCACAGGAAAGAAGAGCTCTGAACAACAGGCAGAGTCCCAAGGCTGTCCTCACACTCAGCAAGCAGCAATGGTGGGAGAATGCAAAAGATAGGAATTGTATTCGACAAATTTAATACCTGTATCTACATCATGGGAAAATGGGCCTCAGGGTAAAATAATTAAGGATACCTGTACTACATACTCCAAGCATACTTACATTTTCATTTTGAAACTCATGAAACCGAGTAAAAATATTAATGAAGCAAATAGAAACAGTTAAGTACATTAATAACAAATATTGGCCAACCAGCATGCAACCTGACACTTGGTGAAGAAGAGAAGTTAACAAAACCAAAAGGTCAAACTGTTTTCAGATGCATTATATTGAGATGCCATTAATGAAAGGTAAAAAATGTGAATCATGACAAAACACCAAGAAACCCTGATCACTTTTGAACAGTGTTATACATAAGGTAAATAAGCCACTAATGTACGGAGCTGACTGCCATTGTATTGGTATGGTTATGCATGACTGATGCATGTACCTGGTATTGAAGTGATACTTGACTAGTTAAAAACCAAACAAATAATATTCAACGATCAGCTTGGTAATCTTAAAGAGTTAAACACTCCAATCCAAAGAATACTGTACAAGGTAATTTAAAGTTCTCCCATTTTGAATCACTGCTCTAATCTAATAATTCTAAAGTGCATATACTGTATTGAGAATGATCAGGAGGGTTATTAAACATATTCAGCTAGACTAAATGTCTTAACCACTTGTTTACCTTAAAGGTATTGAGAAGTATTTACAGTCAATAAGCCTTCCAGATGTTTACCTCCAATACTTCCAAGCTACTTTGGGTGTACTATCCTCCCTCTCCTTCCATGATTTATCTAGCTTGTCATGGGTTTTCCCATAAAGCCTGTGCTATACATCACAAATGGTGGAATAATATCATAAACGGAGGACTATTCCTGAAATCCCTTTTTGTAATTGAAGGCAAGCACAGTTCAGCTTCCCACCCCCCTCCCTACAGTGTGGAATAATAGTGGCTAAATCTGGCATGGCAGAAGCCCTGATGGCAGGTTCACTCCTGGAAAGCCATTTTCTACAATCAATTGGAGGTGGAAATTATGTGCCAGGTTGACATTTTACAAGTCCTTCAATCTTGTGGCCTTGAATGACAACATCTATACCATTTGGGGACCATTTTCTCTCTGGTAATTGATGGAATGAAAGCAATATCAAAGCACTGCCACTGTACTCAGGGAACATGATAAGGTGGCTATATGTTGAGAAAGACATGTCTCTTTCAGGGTCCTCCCACTCAGGAAATGGGTATCAGACTCAATTCCCCAGTTAGTGTACACCTAAGTCAAATATTATCTCTCTAAACCAAAAGCCTTCAGAAAGAATCACCGTACTTCTCGATGTGCCATTTGTAACTTACCCGAGAGTACAGATTGATCCTAAGTGGCTGACCAGCCCGAGTAGTGGCTATGTGGTCATTAGCGATGTCCTCAGCTTGCAGGGAAGGTGTGGCCATGTGGTAGCTCAGAATATTTCTCAGTTTAGTGTAATTACTCTGTAAGTGGTGAACAAAATCATAAATTCTCTTACTCTATAAAACTGAAATAATATACCAAATTAAATCTCAAATCAAACAAGTATCAGATAAAGGTAGATTGTTCAGTTATTCTTAAATTCACCAAGAAAGAAAAAACTCAAAAGTTAAATCATATATATCAGTACAGTCGAGAATCATCTGTTAACTACAATGGAACTCTGGTAATGAAGACACTCAGGGGATGCAAGTGTGCACCTTAACAAGATATCTTCACTTGGGAACATGGAGCACTTTAATCTGTACAAAGCTAAATCAGTAACCTCCTATGTCACCAACCAGCTTTAAGGGTTCCATAATATATCAGGCCTGTGTCAATGTGTCCTGTTGTGTGAATAGCCAGCAGCAAGGTGTCCCATTATCCAGCTTCAACTCATTCCATAAAATACTCCTCTGACAAATATTAAGATATAGCAACATCTATACAATACTGAACATAACTCTTAAACAAACAGTCCTATGGTTGATCTGTCTATGGAAACTTTTCACTGTGTATACAATGTTGACTCACCGATGTACTTTGTCTCTGTGTGTTTATGATCTCTCTCTCTCTCACTGCTCAGACCTACTACAGGTACCAGAACACACCGACCTCTATACAGTGTATGTTCATCATATAATTTACCGTAAGATCATCCAGGACTTCTGTTGGCATTTCCTCAAAAGCTCTGTTGCTTGGGGCAAAAACAGTAACATCTGTCAGTTCTGAAAGTTCATCCATCAGTCCTGCTTGTTCAAGAAGGTCCAAGAACCTGGTTAGGTTATGACCCTCCAGCACTTCGATTACTGGCTTTGCTGAGGGTGAAGAAAGAGTTTGTTTCAAAGACAATAAATCAATATTTTCCCACACTAATGTAACTGTGATGGTCTTTTATGAATTCCACCTTGTGTATATGGTATGGGTTTACGATACAATTTATGTTAGGAAACTTAGGATGACTTTCATAACAGATGATGGGAACACAGTATTTACACTCTGGTAACAAATTAGGGTATGTGAAAATATGTACCAAACACATTAGCATCTACTACTATACTATCTTATATAACAGTAATTATCTCAAGACATTATTTTTACATGTTTAGTTGTCATGTACAGCAACAACCAGTACAGTGGGGTATGCTATAACGAACGGTTTTACCTATAAAATTGAGAATGCTATAACGAACGCAACTCCTACAACGAACGCGGATGAATACCGGACTATGTCGCCTGGCGCATGAATATTGTTGTACAGCAGCTCACAACAAGAGTGTCAGGCGCCATCTTTGTCTCATTGTGTAGCCAGTGCACCACTGTTATTGTTGAAATTTCGTCTTTTGATGTGGAAATTCGTGTTATTTGTATAACTATTTTGTTATACAAGTATACAATTGTAACATTGAATTGTCCAAAGCGAGTGAGAAAGCTAATAACCCTTAAAACTAAGAAAGAAATCATAAAGAAACGTGAGGATGGAAGAAGCATTGCGAAACTTAGTGATGAATATGGGATGGCTAAATCGACTATATGTACGATTTTGAAGAATAAAGAGGAGTTGAAAACTGTGCAAGTGGCTAAGGGAATCTTTAGACTTAGCAAAGCAAGGTGTAATGTGATTGAAGAGATGGAAAATTTACTCTTAGTGTGGATAAAGGAGAAAGAAATGGCAGGTGATAGCATTAGTGAAGCTATAATTTGTGAGAAGGCCAAACAATTGTTTAAGGACCTTAAAGCCAAGACTCCCAGTGGAAGTGATCGCGCTGTGCCAGTGTTTAGGGGTACCTGCATGCTAAACAACACTAAGGTAAGATAAAGTACTGTATTTTTTACATTTTCCACAGAAAATTTTCAGTGTTAAGTGGTTGTACTTAGGGGCCTGGGACGGATTAATCCTATAACGAACGAATGCTATAACGAACGAGGTTCTAGAACCAATTAGATTCGTTATAGCATACCCCACTGTACTGTTATGAAAAAAATTCATATCCTTCCTGAAGTCACCAAATTATTTAATATTTTAAAAAAAAATTCTAGTCAAACTGTTTCTCTTTACATTATTCATCAACCCATAATTGTGGAACAAGTCAATGCCTTCAACCAGACCAAACATTAGACCTCAGTAAGGAAGTAGTTTGTGTGAGTGTGTGGAAAGAAAAATTTGTACCCAGGGAAGAAAAATTAACTATAAAATGTCCAGTCTTTGAGAAGCTCTGGTTTTCTCAGATCCAGTTCCATGGGTCTGTTCCTGTAGTGGTATTGCGTTCTTAAATACATTTGAAATGCATATCCATTTATGAGACGAGAGAGAGGAACATCTTCTTCATCAAAACATAACCTTCAAAAACTCTAATTCGAAAGACATTCGATACAAAATAATTTATGACTTTACTGTACATGTATAAATCCACAAAAAGCTGATAATGGACAAACTAATAGTTTAAGACATTAAAGGCTCAGCATAATGGTATATTTATAAGCAAGAACACTACAGCAGACCTAATGAATGATATATTCTTCAGTAAGTAACTTTAACTATAACCTACCTTCCTGGGGCATAAGAGGACTATCAATGATGTGAAGGACACCATTGGTACCAACTATGTCCCTGACCACAACCTGGGCATCCTCTATGAACACCTTGTCATCTTCACTTTTCTCCAGAAGAAGGTATTTATCAAGCAAGTTGACTGTGCGAGCCTTGCCCTGGACTGCTGCAGAACAGATCACATTGGGCAGGATATGGTTCTTCACCACAGCTGTTGGGAAACAAAAAAAAAAGTGCATAAAAGGAAGATGACAAAATACAATAAATTTAAGAATGACTGATGGACAAATTCTTCAGATAAAGCACTTGGCAACACTAATAAATTCTAATAATACTGTACACATATTAGTTTGAATTTTCATCTATATTCTCTGTAGTAGAACCTCAGAATTCTTTAAGTCAGAAATACACAAGTCTCTTTTGATAAATAGTAATAAAAAAAATATTGAAACAAAATTTCATGCATAAAAAACTAAAAAGAAAGGTCCAGCTGATGGTGAGTAACTCATAAACAATGAACAAAATACCAACACACAGATTAGATGAGCAATAAACTCTCACTCATACAGAAGGTTCACAAAAAACAATCCCATCCAAGAACACTAGGTATTAAATGGCTAAAGAAAGTTTTCATGTACAGTACTGAATACTGTATATAACACTCACAGTCCAGACATGAACTGCCCTCAATAAGAGCCTCAAGGACAGACTCAGGCAAGGTTTGGAAGGCAGCATCAGAGGGAGCAAATACAGTCAACTGGCCGGGCTCTCGCAGCTTTGTCAAGAGGTTAGCCTTGCTTACCACTGTGGATAGAATAATGACACAAAAATTCATAAACCAAACCATAAAATTTCCGAAAATCATAAATGAATTATTGTCAGGGACACTTAGATAACATGTTAGTATATTTATTAAACAAGGAAAAATACTTACATCTCTTGAGAACTGATAACTGAGGGTTTGAACTGATAAGATCAGCCAGGCTCTTGGTGACGGGCTCGAGTACACTGTCAATGGTGTGAACAACTCCATTAGTGGCGTATTGGTTGACACTAACAAGTCTGGCACAGTTAACTGTGGCCGCTGGTGGGTTGGTGCTGTAGGTGTTGATCCTCAGAGTGGAGTTGTCAACCATGCTGTGGAGGACCTTGACAAGAGAGATGCAATAGTTAAAAGCAGGAACAGGAGAGAGTGGAACAGATGAAGGCACCAGTGACCCTTCCTTGACAGACAAAGGCAGGGATGAGTGTTAAGATATTAGCCTGGAACACCTCAGTTTCAGTAAAATAGAATGAGGACATATCTGAATTATTTTTTACATAGAATGTGCAAACCCAGAATTTCAATGGCAGAAACAATGACCCTGACCTAGTCCAGTGACACATGATCAGGCACCTTACTCTCCCTGGTAACTATCTGTACACTATTATGTTCATTAATGTTAGACTGGTATGTGCCTCCGAGTATTGTAGAGTACTGTACATAAAAAGAGAAGAAACATTACACAGTAGCTAAAAAAATAACCATCTATAGCATGTTTATGTGAAACGTCTATTTAATGGACTATATGGAGAAAAGTCCATTATAGTAAAGTTTCTCTGTACAGTACTGTATTTAAAATGTCAATTACACTGTGCCCATAAGTTTTAAATCACCTTTATATACATTTTCTTAAAAATATAGACAATCTTTGTGGTGTAGATTAATACAATATAACCTTTTTCTTTTATATTTTTAATTTCTACTCTTCTTATTTTTTTGCCCCCTAAGCCCCGTTGTGGGTTGTTCGACCTGTGCTTGGGGGGCTAATATATACACACATTAGTTTTCACTTCCCCAAAAATGTCATTTGACATAAAAAATTTGCCTGACCTAATACAGTACAATACTGTACCTTGCATTTTGGTACTTGGGGTCATACCATGGATTTTGTTCAAATATCATAAAAAAGGTACTACTTTACATACTGATTAAGGATCAGGGTTCACAATTAAAAAGGTTGAGCACTGTATAATATAATGATGATTCAATCTGAATAACATAATAAAGTATCTCACTCAATCAACCATTTATTTATGAACACTGAACACTCTCTGCCTCACACACACAATACTGTACAGTATACCTGTACTTTCTCATAGTTAGTGATTCACTTAATCTCCTATCAGATATATCAACATAAGATCTACTACTTGTCTCACCTGTTCATCATGGAGATCACTAGCATAGTAAATACCCTTAGTCATGTGAGACATAACAATACTCTGGGTGTCAGCAGAGCGGCGGCGACGGATGTATACTTCATTAAAAGAACGATCCTCATTAAGGGCGTTGTCCAATTCATTCTGGAATTTATACAATACACGAGTTAAATGCAGGATCATACACTGGTTAAACTCCTACAGGTAATACTCGCTATCATTACTGAAATTATTTTAGGCATTAGGGATAATAATAAGTACTGTAACCTGAAAGTTTACAAAGATGGCCGTTCGTGTGTGGGTACATTTAACTGCTTGGGTTGTTGTTCCGGTGGTGCTTACAGTAGGTTAGGTTAGCTTAGGGTAAGTTACATAAAATTTTTCTTAGAGGAAATGTTCAAACTTAACCTATAATCAGGGTTGGAAAAAGTGTCATAATTGATTAGTGATAAGACACTACTGTACTTGTATATTAAATCATGCCTGAAATATCATTAACTTATAAAACCACAAAAATATATAATTGTAATATTAATGAGAAACCATGAAAAATGACCAGTAATCCTTTGACAACTCGGCATTCGATAACTCATAATTTCATATAACTCGGCATGGATGTACCTGTATTCTCAGAATGTATTTGTGTGACTCGGGATATATGTAAAATGATCTGGGAAAATCTCGGCATATCTGGCCACCTGCATCACCTACCGTGCCTCTGTCACCTACCATGCTTCACTCTTCACCCACAGTGCTGTAAGTGTTACTTTTTCACATTCAGTAATTACATGTACAGTACAGTACTGCAAAAATTTTCTTAATTAAAAAATAATTATGTTTAATGTACAAACTAAATTAATATAGTGTAATACAATTAATGTGACAGCTGCTAAATTACAGTAACTAGGTACCGTACTAATTTACAGTAGTTAGGTCGATTAAAGGTGTTTGTGAACAATACATTGGGGTTTTTCTTGTATTTAGGTTCTGAACTACAATAGTTATGTACTTATTTACAGTGGTTTCTAACGGCACACCTTATTTCCATGGGTGACAAGAAATAGAATAATTCTAAATGGATGTCACTTAGAATATACTGTACTGTATACTGTATCTAATGCATTTCAAGGCCAGCGAAGGACAGTAATTATCTCAAGTTGGAGTACAGTATATAATAAATGAACAGTATCACAGCACATGAGAAATTATTCCACAAAATAGACTGAAATAATAATCTAAATGTCTTTCAAGAACTAAAGGAACAGTGAAACCATAAAAAGTTATATTTTCCATCAAGAGGAAAAGCAGTACAGTACAATACAGTTCTGTGAGCTCTTTCATCAGTCTTTTAGTGTTCTCTTTTGTGTTTCAGTCAAGTAAGTTGCCTTCTCTTAAAAAAGAAGCTTTACAACCATCACTCGCACTTTAGCATTCAAATTTGGCGCCACAGATCAAGCTGATTTGTTTACGTTTATCTTGCCCAGGCCTACCAACCTTCCCGAGTTGTAGCATTATGGTTACTAAATGATAACCCAAATGTACAAGTTGCTAATGGAGTTTGACGAATTCATTTGTCAGGTTGCTAAAACTTAACCTGACAATCGGAATTCCTCTTTGGACTTGCTGCCCAGAATGTTGAAAAAAATTGGCCGTAAGGTCACCAATCGTATGTTCAAGGAATATACAGCAGAGGATTCCTTGCCAATACTCCTGGGGCAGAAGTCACATCACTACTGCACTCCTATTCAGAATGCTACCATCATGTTATCTACTCTTTCATTTACAGAGCATTTCCTGTAGTATATTGTACCTACAGTATTTTCATATCCTCTACCCACTCCGAAGAGCAGATTCATTATTTCAAACTATCCCAACTTCTTATATCTAAAATTCATTAGAAACAAAAGCAAATTTCAACTGAATAAACATTAGGACTCTAAGAGTTCTGACTTAACAAATCAGTCCTTGGAATCATTAATATTGCCAGCTTTCTGTTCTTAGTCACCAGGTCAGTGGGGTACTGGTGCTGTTGTAAGGGATATTTGTCCTGAAAGATTGTCCTAATATAAAATCAGTCTACACCATGACCAGTTTTTAAGCTTCTCCATAATTCTTTAGTCACACTGTCTTCCTTCATTATATTTTCCTTTGTATAAGACGGTAGAAACATTTAAAAGAGTTCAAATGTAATACAGTTACTACACATGAAAACAAGGTGTCACCTGTTTTAACACAGCAGAGTCCTAGTACCTCAAACACACACCTGCATTGTCTCACACACAGCCAAGGGTCCCAGTACCTCACACTCACACCTGCATTGTCTCACACACAGCCAAGGGTCCCAGTACCTCACACTCACACCTGCATTGTCTCGCACACACAGCCAAGGGTCCCAGTACCTCACACACCTGCACTGTCTCACACACCAGAACTGAGCTGGTCTGGAGTCCTCAGTACTGCACCATCAACTGATCTACAGACTCTACAAACGACCATAACTAACCTCTGCCTCTAGGTCAGCTGTGTACTCCTGCATGGCTTCATTAGTGGGGACAAACATAGTGATGTTCTCCTTGAGCATCTCATCCATCCCAAGTGCTTTTGTCAGAGAGAGGAAGTCTGTTGTCCCAATCTCCTGTAGTATCTCTGGCAGATCATGCAGCTCAACTGGAGAAGTCAATTTAAAGCCATGAACTTATAATATGGGTATAAAAAATTTACATAAGAGAAATGAACTTAAAATTAACTATTCATGTAACACAATACATACAGTAAACACATTCCAGTCTCAATAAACTTAACTTTCTTTTTTGATGAATTTCATAAAGAATATCTAGCTAACGTAAGCATCACAGGAATAGGTAGTTACTTGACTTCTCTTGTTCCTAAAAGTTCCACTACAGGAGGGGGGCTTGTCCTCCCTCCACTCATAATCTTCTTCCTCACTATGCACTTCTATATATCATCTACTATAGTAATTACTCTTAAAATATCAAACTAACTATGATAAAATCTTGACTTTTATTGTTAAATATCATTATAGGGAACAATTTAATTAATCTTTGCATCAATTCAAACTTGTGGGCAATGGTATCATGCTCCCCTTTAACAACAAAAGCCTCCTTTTTCAATAATACTATTTCCCCTTCATCCTACACTGACCTCCACTTTCTTCTGGTGAACTCACAACAATACTGTATTCTCTCTCCTCACCTTTGGTACACGCTGAGCCCTCCCTGACATAGCTGTGACAACACTGGTATGTCACCACCACCGTCTTGTGGAGGCCGCGGCGTGAACTCCTGGAAATATATTACAGCACACATTAATAATATATCATCACATCATGGAAAACTAATAAAAAAACACACAGCTTTTTACCTTAACCTCCAAGATACATTTAGTGCTGCAGTATTTGGCTTTTTGTAATTAGAAAAACTGTTAACAAAACTTCTGAACACAAATACACTTACATATTCTACCTTTACTCATAAACCTTTCTTCCTTAACTACCAACACTGAAACATTCATTTACTCTCCTGTATTCTTAACATTTTTTTTAAACATTTGTGTAGTTTTGTATCTCTCCACTACTTAGTCTGTAGCTCAATACTTGCTTAGGCAATTTGTCTTCCTTCAGATATATAAGATGTAAAGAAAATTGTAAAAATGTGAGAGGAAGACCAAGAAGAGGGAGATGGCCATACAATAAGGAAGTAGAATGATGGCCATACAATAGGGAGAAGGAAGATGGCCATACAATAAGGAAGTAGAATGATGGCCATACAATAGGGAGAAGGAAGATGGCCATACAATAAGGAAGCAGCATGATGGCCATACAATAGGGAGAAGGAAGATGGCCATACAATAAGGAGAAGGAAGATGGCCAAACAATAAGGAGAAGGAAGATGGCCATACAATAGGGAAGTATCATGATGGCCATACAATAAGGAGAAGGAAGATGGCCAAACAATAAGGAGAAGGAAGATGGCCAAACAATAAGGAGAAGGAAGATGGCCATACAATAGGGAAGTATCATGATGGCCATACAATAAGGAGAAGGAAGATGGCCAAACAATAAGGAGAAGGAAGATGGCCATACAATAGGGAAGTATCATGATGGCCACACAATAAGGAGAAGGAAGATGACCATACAATAGGGAGAAGGAAGATGGCCATAGAATGACCATTTAATACAAAAGCATTGTGACTGAACCCGCACACGAAGATTGGACACCCCGAGCTTATATCACCCGACGATTAAACACTCTAATGGTACAGTCACCTGCACCTGTACCTCATATGGTGGCTGGCTTATATAGTATCGCTCGTCTGGCTATTGTGAGATTCCTTTGGGCCATTCTGGGACTTTTAAAGAGATGTAAACAAACACAGAGTTGCCACGTCTCACAAAAGATGCCAACCATTGTACCAGGTATAAGTGCAGGCGACTGTACCATGGGGGTTAGGTATACAGGGTGTCTAATCTGTGATCCCTCAGGCCTCAGCAGACAACATGAATGATAAACAAACGAATCTGTTGACGAGAAGTAAACTAAGATATTACTCACTTGGAGGTGCAGGTGTACTTGTCTCTCATCTCAGTACAAGATGTTACCTCCATGTTGCCGAAGGAGAAGATGAAGGAGGAGCCAGAGGGGGACTGGGATATGCCTTCATCTTCGGTTTCCTCTGCCTCCCCTTCATCAATCTCCTCCCTGTCCACACACACGTTGGGTCTGGCAAGGAAGAAAAAACACTTGTTAAAATGTCGCCTCTCCATTGTCTATTACAACAATAAACAATATATTTACCAATAGACGTGTGTCACCGTGGGTGTAAGAGTGTGGACCAACGGAAACACAAAGGTAGGAAGGTGTGATATAGCTCAGGGAAGAAGTATGAACTGATGTGAGTGGAAAGGTGTGGAACAGGTCAACGGGAGAGGAGGAGAATGTTTGGTTTATATAACGTGATTAACTTACACACTCGCTTCTCATCTGGACAATGTGTTATCCCTTTCTCACAAATAGTTCCCTAAACAACCCTAGCCTTGTTAACTAGGCTAAAGATTATTGCTGAGCTGGATCACAAAATATATAAAAGACAGCTACCACAACATTTAAAGTTCTGTAAATATACTATAATGCTTCCCGGAGGTGTTGAGCTACAAAATCCCTCTTGGGACTATGGATGAAAGAAAGAGGATGACATCTACATCAGCAAGTCAATATGTGAACCCCAAGCAACATGCACGTGTCATCAGTTCAAGCAATGGACGATCTTACACGCCAACAGGGGAGGGTCTCTTGACCAGCGTACTTATTGTCAGTTAGCACAGAATGACTTCCTTATTATCATTCGCTTAGCAGGATGCTTCTAGATATGTCTCACTTAACTTGCACACAAACTTACCACAGAGTGACTCCTGCACGACCGAACCTGACACACACACACACACACACACACACACATATCTCTCACAAAATCTAAACTACAAGTCACATTAATCCTGACGACCGTGTCGAAGGCAAAACAAACAAAGCTCTTGACGTCACGTCCTCCAGTAGGGCAGGAGAGCTTCCCGAGTAGGGGGGGGGGGGCACACCCAAGGTCAAGGTTTATATTTGTTATGTCAGTCGGTTCTTGTATATACCCTGTACATTCGTGGTCCCCAACCTCTTAAAGGCTTTGGGCCACATTTGTCATTGTAAATATAGTGGAGGGCGCCACAACTTTGGATCTACATTCAAGAAACAAAAATCTCGTATATACTGTACAGTTATTTGCAGTTTTACACGTCTAACCGTTACCAATTGCATAATTTTTACATTTACTCTTGGACAGGACGTGTGTATTTACCCCAGTGAGAAGGCTGGCTCTCTCTGGGCCCGGTCTGGGGGTAAATACACACGTCCTGTCCACGACATTTATATCAAGTTATTTCATATTTACATTAATTTCACTCTTACAAAGAATCCCAAATACTTCACAATTTTATAATACACCGTTGGGGGACCACTGCTGTACATATTAAAACAAGTATTGTTACGACTAAACGATCCCAAGTAACAGCAGATGCTCTCCACTTTTTACTCGTAGTTGGGACACTGAGGAGAAACAGATGGTCTTTGAACGAAGCTTTAACCAAGAGTTTACATTAATGTACAAGTGTCAAGAGGAATCAAGCCCAGATTTACCGTGGTGTCATTGAGCCTCATATTCCACACAATCCTGTAACCAACTAACTAGAGATGATGGAGAAAGCTTTGTGTGGTCGCCAACACTCACAAAATCTCTTCCTCGAAGATAAAGTATTACAGCCAATAATAAACTCAAGATTTACCATAACGACAAACAGTATTTAAATATTCAAAACTTTATTATGGCGTGAGCAACTGAGTAAACAGAACCAAAATCACTAGACATATAAGACATTCTATAATTCCACTAAAATCTTTTAAATGCTGTGAAGATGCAGGTGACAATCCCAAGGAGGTGAAGACGGAGGGGGATGTAAACAGTTTGGATGTGTTCAACTTCAAACAAAATACCCATGGAAATGGGTTTTAATTTTGTTTGTTTCAATCTCACATATTTTTAAGGGGAGTGGGGGGGTCAGTGTAGGTGTAGACAACGATGATGGGAGGTCAGTGTAGGTGTAGACAACGATGATGGGAGGTCAGTGTAGACAACGATGATGGGAGGTCAGTGTTGGTGTAGACAACGATGATGGGGGTCAGCGTAGGTGTAGACAACGATACGGTTCAGTTCTGGTGCCCCTATTATAGAATGGATATAAATTCACTAGAGTCGGTGCAGCGAAGAATGACAAAAATGATTCCGGGACTTAGAAACCTTCCATATCAGGATAGGTTAAAGAAACTGAACTTGCATTCCCTAGAAAGACGAAGAGTGCGGGGAGATATGATAGAAGTGTTTAAGTGGGTGAAAGGAATCAATAAAGGGGATATAGATAAAGTTCTTATAATATTCAAGTTGGATAAGTTCAGGTTTAGGAGGGAGATAGGAAGAAACTGGTTCACAAATAGGGTGGTGGACGAGTGGAACAAGCTTAACAACTTTGTAGTAAGTGCTGGAACGCTGGAAAGTTTCAAAAGGAGGCTAGATAGATTCATGGATGATAGAGAGTGGTAGTAACTCTGACAGGAGCTGCCATGCACAGGCCAACCGGCCTATTGCAGACTCCTTATTTTCTTATGATGGGGGTCAGTGTAAGTTGTTACCCTGAATTACGCAACAATGGAGGTAGTTAGACGGACGTGATCTCTCTCTCTCTCTCTCTCTGTGTCTACCTGGAGTTCCCAAACTTTCTCTCTCCCCGGGCAGACAGGTGAGTGACCGTGAGGTGACTAAGGTCTCCCTGTCATTAACTGATCTGTTTTCTAATGCCCCCTCATTATTTATGCTTAATATTTACACCCAGTTGTTATGGATGAAGACAAAGGAACATAGCCAGCCTCATCCCCCCAAGCACATAGACAGTTTCTCGGCTCCAAAACGATCAGAAAGTTATAGGAATGATGTAAAATTTAGTTAACATCGTCCTACCTTGTCTGCTAAAAGAAAGAAAAATCTAAATGTACTGTGCCAAGAGTTACCACCTTTTCCCTGCTACCTGGAACTCCTGTTGACCGGACCTGTGTTTGTATTACCACAGGCGGGTTCTAGGAACTTCCCAGACCGCTCAAGTCTCACACTCAGGCCGTGTGTATGTGGCTGTAATTTCCTTTGTTCCGCCGATTGTCTGTCACACACTATTTCTTTTACGGTCTAACTACTGTAAATCATATAACACTTCCTTTATCAACGTTTTATATCGAAAAATTATTATATCTTGTTAAATGGAGTTTGATGTTGACTTTAATGTGAATAATTAACAGAAAATCTTCATAATCCACATCATTATTTATTTTTTTCACGGTTTTAAAAAAAATATGAATTTTACTTCCTTGTCGACTTGATTCATCTAAACAAGTTAAAACAATACACCATCACCAGCTCGAGGTAATTTATGTCAGATTTCTCTTAACCTGCGCTGACAATATAAAAAAAATGAGAAACTAATTTTTTTTTAATATATCTTAACAAATAAAAGAAAAGAAGAAATGTTTGTTGTGTGCGGCTGGTAAATACATAAACACTGCAGGTAAGTTAAGTATACAGTTCACAGGTGAGCCTCATTAGTGTAGCTCGACACCCGGACACACTGTCACTCCCTGGGGGCACGACGGATCCCCAAACTACAGGTCGCGACCTCATTTACGGTCACGAAGTTTATTTGGGGGTCGCTAGGGATTACTATCTGCGCCACACCACCACCTCCACACGTATCTATAACTGTGAGGGGCAACTAAATGATATATTGGAGAAAACAGTGGAATCTATTAACTTAAACAAGAATAATATAGAACTGATTAATCCTAGACACTTGCCAAGGCGGTAAAGAGCCAGTGTGTGAGTACAAGTTTGTTTCCCCAGACACGCCGCTCCACACTCAGGAGGGCTGGTTGACGGCCGGCTACCTGGCGTCACGGGACTCCCTTTGTTCGTTCCTTCGCGAGTCAATGTGTCTGTTTTATAGCATGTGGAATACAGAATTTGGTAGTTTCTGAACGACTTCCGTATAAAAGGTTTCTTATATACTGTATATCTTTGCGATACCTTGATGAAATTAATTGAACTGAAATACTTGTTGGGGGTCGATATTGATATAAGAATATAAGAAAGTGGGATACTGCAGGAGGCCGACTGGCCCATACAGGGCAGATCCCTTTCACACCCATCCCAGCACTTCCATGTGCCTATCCAACTTCGTCTTGAAGCTCCCTAGCGTCCCCGATCCTACTATAGCACTCGGTAGCCTATTCCACATATCCACAACTCTATTACCAAACCAGTGCTTGCCTATATCCCTTCTGAATCGGAATTTATCTAATTTAAAGCCATTTGTTCTAGTTATTTCTGAGCTTCAGAACATCTTCCATTTTACCCTTGTTAATCCCACTTACCCACTTGAACACCTCTATCATATCTCCCCTAACTCTACGCCTCTCTAATGAATGCAAGCCTAAGCTTTTCAGTCTTTCTTCATATGGAAGGTTTCTAATATTATGGATCATTTTTGTCATTCTTCTTTGTACTCTCTCCAAAGAATCTATGTCCATTCTATAATAAGGACACCAGAATTGAACCGCATAATCCATGTGTGGCCTCACTAATGCTAGGTAAAGTTTCAAGATAACGTCAGCAGTTCTGTTACTCACACTCCTAGATATGAACCCAAGAATCCTGTTTGCCTTGTTGCGAACGCTAATACATTGTTTTCTAGGTTTCAAGTCGTTGCTAACAAATACACCTAGATCTTTTTCACAATCTGAGTTTTCTATTTCCGTGTTACCTAGTTTATACTTAACGTTTGTATTCGTCTTCCCTATCTGTAGTACCTTGCATTTATCAGTATTAAAATTCATTTGCCAGTCTACTGACCACTCATGTAAGGTATCTAGATCTCTTTGAAGGTGTTCAAAGTCACTGTCTGAATTTATCACTCTCCCCATTTTGGTATCATCTGCAAATTTACTAATCCTACTAGTTATACCTAAATCAAGATCATTAATGAATATAACAAACAGCAAAGGGCCTAATACAGATCCCTGGGGAACTCCGCTTTTGACCGCACCCCAGTCTGACTTAAATCCATTGATGCTGACTCTTT